TGGACTACAATGAAGATGGGACCCTGAACATCCTTGAACTTCAGAAAAGCCTGGAGAATCTAGGGGTCATTCAAAACCTGAAGGAGAATGAGGAGGTGGGCTTCCTTGGTGTTTTGATCAGAGATGCTGTGGCTGGGGGCCCTGGAGGGTCCTCTGGGAGAGTGGTAAAGCCAAATTTACATGTTCCCAAGCTTGACCCAAGCCACTAGTGTTCCTGGGGTCTACCAAAGTTACTGTTTATTAAGAATAACCCAATGCAGCCAATACTTTTCTCAAGTATCTCAGTTTTCTCCCTGGCTGTACTAAAATTTCCAACTTGGGATTACTTTCCAGTGTCCACCTGTCTTTAGTAGCCTAGGTGGGCATTTAGTCTCAAGATGCTCCCTCTGGGGTTTGGGGACTGGAAGAATCATTCTACCTGTGTGGCCTGTGGAGTGGTTGCTGGGAGTTCCCTCATGTTAGGTTTTGGTTTCTTTTCCTGGAAGGGGAACAGTCTGAGTGGCTATCTTCTTGGGTTTTTAACACTGCTGAGGTTTCCTCAATCATGCCTTAATTATCAGACCTTAACCATCAAGACTGAGCTTGGACAACATTTTTTTCTGAACCTTTCTCTTTCTAACAGGCCAAATTACAGGCTCTTTCTCAATATGTACAGCCTCGTGAATAATTCTATTCCCAATAATTCTATTTCCGACTTGTTTTCTCTCTGGAAATGATTACTGTCTATACTTTCTGATTTTATTTGCTCTTTTGATATTTGACCAAGCAGACTTGGTGATCCTTGAGAGTAAAGAGTGTGAATTTATTTCAGACAATTGGTACTTTCTGATCACAAAAATGTCTGTTGAGTTCTGTCATATTAAAATTTAGTAAAACTCTTCCTATTAGCCACATGAACTTAGGAGTCTTTATTTTAAACCTATTTAGTTGGTATCAGTTGTATTTCACACACATTCCATACACCAAGCACTGCATCCCGGTTTCTTCAACTTTTGCTATGGTTTGGATAATTGTCCCCCAAGGCCTGTATGTTAAAGACTTTGTCCTGGCTGTGGTGCTATTGGGAGATGTGGAACCATTAAAATATGGGACATTTTGGGAAGTTTTCCAGTCATATGGGGGTGTACCCTGGAAAGGGATATTGGGACCTTTGTCCTTCTTTTTCTTTGCTTTCTAGCCATCATGAGGTGAGTAGCTCTACTCTACCACACACACCTTGATAATGTGCTGCTTCATCACAGGCCAAAGGCAAGAGGGCTAAGGGACCATGGACCAAAACTGAGCCAAAATAAACCTTTCCACCTTGATCCTCTCAGGTATTTTGTCACAGTGCTGGATAGCTGAGGAACACTTCTGTGACCACAGAGGCCTGGAGTAGATGCTGTCTCTGGAACAGTTCAGTCCAAAACATTTTCTCTGTGTATGTTTCCCAATTCCTGAAAAAACAAAACAAAGCCAAACCCTGAAGTATTTTTCCTTTTCCTTTTAAAGTTGAATGTTCTTCATGAATTCTCAGTCTCACGTGTCCCTAGCTTTCCTAGTAGGATATTCATTTATATAGACTGAGAATTCAACTGATTTAGAGAAAAGATAGAAACTTACATTGTATTGTTAAAATGCAAGAGAAAGTTTTTATTTTGGTAGCTATCTAATGAGTTTTTTGAATGATACTCTGTTTTGTTTTGCTCTTTACTATGCCTACAACAACCTGCCCAAGAAACCAGCCCCTTATCTAAAGTAAACAGACCAGGAAACCAGTTTATGTCAGATTTGTAGAAAGTCAGATTTCTATTTCCTGAGACAGTCCAGGAAACTAAGCAGTAACTTCTGTAACTTTCAGCCCCAAAAGTCTGGGATTCCATTAATTTAAGACTCCTAAAGCTCACCCTGACAGCTTAGTTAATTTTCATCCTGACTTAGGACCAACTGAGGACCAACCAAAGAAGGCCAAATATGCAGCCTTAAACAATCACACAGGATGCTTCTACTTCTTGTTATCTGGCCTACAGCTTCCCTGTGCCCAAGCCTCCAATCCGGGAGAACCCCAAGCCTCCCGTTCCTATTGTAGCTTTCCTACTTCACTGGCCTGTGAGTCTCTGCCAATCATGTCCAATGGATGCTGACTTCCCTGCTATACCTAGTCACAATAAATAGTTTTTGTTTACTCTTTTAGTTGGATTTCATTGTTTTCACAGAGGAATATGCTAGATAATTCAAAAGGGACAAGTTAGTTTTTTATATTATTGTTAAATTAGAGTCATCAGTGATTGTTACTCTGGAAGTCTACTTACTATAAGAGAGGTTGCAATTTCAATCCCCTTTCCAAATTATAGATGTTCACTAATATTTCCATTGACCAAAATATGAACTTCTTAGATAAATCTTACGTACACAGATGGGATTCATAAATGCTATGACATTTTCTTTTGGGTGATGCAAATCTTGAATATGTTTTTGTTTCAGAGAAAATTGTGAAACTTTATTGAGAAAATTTAATAAGTCAACAACATGAATGGCTTCAGCTTGTCTTCTTTTTAACTTATGACTGTATATCACCTGTTTCTGGAATTTTAGTACACTCTAGATTAGGTGAAATCCTCTCTTTCACATCTGGGCCATCTTCACCCTCACATACAGTACTTTTTATACTCATTTCCAGGCAGTAAACATTAAGTTTAGGTTCTCCTTCAAGTTCATCCACAACAATTTCCTCTTTCTCCTCCTCTTCCTCTCCTTCTTCCTCTTCCTCTCTTTCTCCTTCTTCCTTTGCTCCTCTTCCTCTCCTCTTCAGTTTGAATATCCTGACTTTTAATTGGTGGTGGTTTCTCTTAAGAATTTTTTCTTTTACCCCTGTTCTTTAGAGCAATCATAGGTTTAATTTGTACTGGAAGTTTCTAGACCATCTCCTCTTCCTCTGGATCTAGATTTTACTGGTGCACTCATAGTTCACACACAGGTGAAACCAGTCAAGACTAGGAATGCGGTCCGCCCAGGAACAGCCCTGCTCACTGCACACTGTTGTTTATATTTTGAGTAATCAGGAAATTATTTCTAGGTGAACATTATTCTCAATATAATTTGTAAAATTAATCAATTTGTAATAATTATTTTCCAGTGACATAATAGAAATTAATTTGCTTTTAAGACAGTTAGTAGTATTGGTATTATTTTAATCAAGGCCATTTAGGATATAGATAAGATAACCACAAAACCAGCCAAGTCAAAAAAGGCTAGAATTCTTTGGAGATACCCTTTGTCAGGCTAAGGGAGCATGTCTCTAATTCTAGTTTGCTTACAGTTTTTAGCCATGAATGATGTTGAATTCATCAAATGCTAATTAAGATAATCATATGACTTTTTCTTTTTCTGTTAAATTAAAAAAAATTAACCCTACCAGGCTTTACTGGAGTATATTCACCTTATTCATTATATATATACACATGTGTACATGCATACACATATAGTATATTTTCTGTTTTATTAAGTATTAGGTTTGATTTGCTAACATATTTTTAGGAGTTTTGTGATTATTTTAAATTATAGTGCTTTCAGTTTCCTTTTTTTTTTTTTTTTTTGTTTTGTTTTGTTTTGTTTTGGTTTGGTTTGGTTTTTTGTGACATCCCTGTTAGGTTTTGGAATCAAGAGTATACCTGCCTCATAAAATGAATTTGAAAATGTTCTCACCTTTTCAATTCTCTGGAAAATTGGTATTTTTATTTATTTCTTAAAAGTTTGTTAGACATTACTGCTAAAACCATGTGGGCCTGAATTTTTCTTCATGGGAATGCTTTAAAATTACAGGTGATATTTATTTAATATTTATAGGACTACTCAGATCTCCTATTGTCTTTGGTCAATTTTTTTTTTTTTTTTTTTTTTTTTTTTAGTAGTGAAGATTGAACCTACGGTTGTATAAACACTGAGTTACATCTCCAGTTCTTTGTGTTTTTTAATTTTTATTTTTTATTTTGAGACAGGTTCTCTCCAAGTTGCTAAGGGCCTTGCTAAGTTGCTGAGGCTTGCCTTGAACTTGTGATCCTTAGCCATTGAGATAACAGGTGTGTGCCGCTGAGCCTAGTTTAAGCCAATTTTTAATAAGTTCTCTTTTTCTAGGCATTTTTCTCTAATTTCATTTATATATTTTTTGATATAAAGCTGTTCTTAATGTCTTTCGTGTCTCTAATGTCTAGGTATTTCTATTTATTTTCTGACATTGAATTCTTGCCAATATCAAGAGTTTATCAATTTTATTGATATTTTCAAACAGCTTCTCATGACCTTGCTAACCCTCTCAGTAGTGTTTTCTTTTACTCTTAATTTTTTCTTTCATCTTCTTTTTGTTTATTTTATTTTTATAAGTTTCTTGAGATTGAGATGAGCTTCAATGACCCATTATTTCCTGACATCTTTTCTTCTTTCCTAGTTATGCATTTTTAACCATAAATCTCCCTACAAGAATAGCTGTAGTTGCAGATCCCAAGTTCTGATCTTTCTGAGTCTAGGGTTATAGTTCTGATCATTATACTATCTTGAAGCGATACAGTGTTATTTACCCATAAAAGCATGAATATGAGCCCAACAAAATTTATAAGCTTTGAGTGGTTGATTGTGAATATCTTAATTGGTGGTAGCAAGGGTATACATGTGATATCAAATAGCATAAGGTCTTATTTTTAATTGAAAACAATTATTTCTATTAATATAAAAGTGGATAGTTTGATATGACAGCTTTTCTAAGTATCATCTGTAGGAAAAGAATATTTAATTTTGGTAATCAAAGGGGAAAATTCTATGTTAGACATTTAAATTCTGTGTTCAATCTCAAGTCAAGAGGAATAGTTGCTTTTATTACAGGCCTGTGTGATAATGGATAATGACATAATGGCAAAAAAAATGTTCCTTTAATCTTGTAGGAAGAGAACATATCTGTTTGAAGTATGTATATAATTTAATACTTTAATTCATATTAGCAATAAAATATCTTTATTTTTTTCTTGTAGAAAATTTTTGTTACTGGAGATATCAACAAAGATGGGAAGCTGGATTTTGAAGAATTTATGAAGTACCTTAAAGACCATGAGAAAAAAATGAAATTGGCATTTAAGAGTCTGGACAAAAATAATGATGGTGTGTCTTTTTCTTCTATTGCTCATCAACTATGAAGAACTACTTCTCAGGTTTCCAAGAGTCTAAAATGATGCAAATTTAGTCTCTCTCTTTTAAGATAGCAACTAATACCTGTTTAAAATAATAAAAAATACTTTAGTATTGTGATTTTTATGTAGAAATCATAGTATTAGTGAAGAAAGCTGTTAATAGCTTTGTCTATTGACATATAATGTTAACTATGGAACTTTATGATGATTTGATTGGTTAAAAATAATAATTCTTTTGGCATGAATACTGAATATTCTAAAATTTGAAAAGGTTCCATATTATCTTACATTTGATAGTCGTTTTGGAAGAATTAATTTAGAGAAGATACTCTCTGATCCTGAAAATTAGAAAACAAAATAGTGTGTAGACCTTTAGCTATGTACCTTCTGATTGGGTTTATGGCTTCTCTATGTAGAATAATAGCCAAGAGGGAGATGAAGCTTCCTTAGGATCAGTTGCCTGATAACCAGCGGTCAGTTATCCCCATGTGTAAATTATGCACACATCAGTTGTCCATTTCAGAAAATTCGGAGTCAAACAGGACATAAAGATGAAATTTTAATGGTTCAATTTTAGTAAATGTGAAGGGTTCCCTTAATTTGTCTTTTTTAAAAAATATATATTTTTAGTTGTTGATAGACCTTTATTTTATTTATTTATATGTGGTGCTGAGCCCAGTGCTTCAAGCATGATAGGCAGATGCTCTCCCACTGAGCTACAACCCCAGTCCTTTAATTTATCTTTTTTTGGTATATTTTGAAACAGTTTCTCATGATAGGTTCATATTTTTATTTAGCAGACTTCTTTAAAGCAAAACACATAGAGTAGATCCTCATGATTCATGAACTCTGTATTTGTGAATTTGCCTTAAAAGTAACCCTGAAATGTATATTCACAGCACTCCCAGCCATTTGTGGGCATGTGCAAAGTAATGGAATATTTGAGCTGCTCAATATGTACATTCCTAGCTGAGGAAGAGAAGGTGACATCTGCCTTCTTATTTCAACTCTCAGACTATAAACATGTCCTTTTCAAGGTCTATTTTGAACAATGTATTTTGTGTTCTTGTACTTTTTACGGGGATATTTTTTGCTTTTCAAAATGTTCCCTAAAAGTAGAGTTGAAGTACTGTATTGTGTTCCTCGTGGACAGAAGGCTATGGTGTGCTACATGGAGAAAATACATGTTAGATAAATTTCCACAAGTGTTCAATGTTGCTGGGCACTATGGTGCACACCTATAATCCTAGCAGCTTGGGAGGCTAAGGTAGGGTATCGCAAGTTCAAGGCCAGCCTCAGCAAGTTAGGCTCTGTCTCAAAATGAAAAGTAAAAAAGGACTGGAGGTGTGGTTCAGTGGTTAAGTGCTACTGGGTTTCCAAGAAATGACATATCTTTAAACAGAAACACACATGAGAAAAGGTTAGGTATTGGTCAGTTGATGAAGATGTGATTAGAAGATGATAGGAACTTAACCCTGAATTTTCTAGAGAAGCAATGGTTCAATAGTTGCTAATTCAGCATTTGCCATTGACTGCTGTGAATAACAAGAATTAAGTGTAAATCTTCAAGAGTGTGGTTATCAAGGAGAATTATCAGAATGTTATTTGAAGCATTTCGCTGTTACAGTTCATGCCTTTTACTGCCCTTGTATTGTCCAGGTTCCTCTCCTCAAGAGGATTTTCTCAGAATCCTGTCATTTCTTTAGAATCCCTGCCTTAGTTAAAGTCTTTCCTTTCACCACTAACAGTGATTTTTGTCTTTGTCTCTTCCTGAGAAGTTTGCTACTAATGCTGCTTTGACAGAAGAACCTCTGTTTGTTATGTCCTAGTTCATGTAGATCAGTCTTTGGATTCTCAGTCTGAGCTGCTCAAGGGAAATTTAGTCCACTTACATTTATTGCTTATACTTTGTTTTTCCTCTTCTGGTTGTTCTCCTGTACATAAATATGTCTGATTTCCCTAACACTAAAATTTTTCTCTCTCCCGTTGTTTTCCTAACGTTACTCTCTTTATTTTTACTGCTGGATTTCTCAAAAAATACTCCACACTCTTTGGTTCCATTTCTTCATTTTCTACTTGTCTTTAACCAATTGGATAATATAACGTTATACATGATAAATGTCTGGTCATTTGTTAAACAATGGATATGGTTATTTTTTAAATGAATCCTAGTTTAATTGAATATACCTGAGAGTTGGAATATCTTGATTTGAATTTCAGTTCTGTTATTTCTTAATAACATCACTTGGTGAGACTACTTGATCTTCTTCTTCAGAGGAAAATCATTATTGTCTACAAGGCTGTTATGATTACTGAAAGAAATAGTATGTCTATACTTGTTTAATGTATTTGTTAAATTTTGCATATTGATGTTATAATTTGTATTTAAGCAAACATAGGATTTACCTAAATGCATAGTTTTGCCTTCGTCTTTTCAAACTTTCTCTTAAATAGGTGATTTGAAATTCAAAGTTTCTAAGGTAGTTGTTAGTTCTAAGTTTATAATCTTTTCATTTCCTTAAAGGAAAAATTGAAGCTTCAGAAATTGTCCAGTCCCTCGAGATATTGGGTCTAACTATTTCTGAACAACAAGCAGAGTTGATTCTTCGAAGGTAAGCTCTTTACTGTGTTGACAATTATTTTTTACTATCATTTTAATATCCTGCTTTAGAGAACTGCATTTGTATGTGTGACTTTAAAACACTTCCCTGAACCTCATCATTCCTCATTACATACATCCAGCATCAATCATTCCTCTTCCTCCCTGTTCATTTGTATGCACTTGTATATTATCTACAATGAAGGAACTGGAGAAGGATGCTCAGAGTGCACTCTTTCTTGCAAGACCTCAGGGGCAGCAGGACAGTAATAAGGTGTTAAATCTAGAGATAATGAGCCAAGGGTTTGGGTATTGCATTTCTCTTTTCTTTTTTTCTCTTCCATTTGGTTCCTAATGTGACAATAGAACTGGATGTTTCAAGATAAGGAGTCTAGCAGATTCTTCAGATTATTTAATCTACATGTGACTGGATAAAAATATTCCAAAGCTTTCCTAGTTTTCAGAGAAGTACTGATTTAAACTTAAAGAACACAGAGATGCCAATTTGAATATTGTTGCCAGTTCAAATATTTAGTAAGATAAACCTTTACAAATGCAAATGTTTTATTTCACAGGATGGAGCCATAACCTCTGAAGTACAGGGGCTTTCAAATACTCTTTTGTTATAAACACAAGGCAGGTACCAATTTTTTCATGATAAAAGAAAACAGGAAAGGATGCTTACATTATATTAATATTCTCCTGAATGTTTTCAGTTTCTTATTAGTGCCTTTATTATCAAATTTATTTCTTTTTATATCTGTATATTACTTCATAGAAATACAATATTTCTTATAGGAAAATACAGTAGCATTTTTTTCCTTTCTGTTTAGAATTTCTTTTATAAGCAGCTGTCCAACAGGAGGGTTTGAAATCTCAAGGTTGTGCCTGGAGTTATTTTTGTTAGCACTGGATAATAAAGGCTTTCCTGGATAGTAGAAAACTAAAACATGAAAAAGAGATACAAAGAATTTTGACCATGGTATATTGAGCATATAAAAATCTGCTTCTAAAGTTGCATTTGCACAAAAAAAGTGAAGATTTTTTTCTTGATCTAAGAACAGAAATCATATTTCTGTATTCCCTATGATGTCTTTAAAGATAATACCAATTCTAAATCCAAGTAGCAGAATAGATCAAGGTGTATTAGTTAGCTTGATCTGCCATAAAAATAATACCACAAATGACATGTACTCAATAACTTAGAGTCAAAGAGGAAATTAAATGGAAATTCAAGAATTATACTGATTTGAAAACATTAAAACTTGAGGGATATTTCTAAGATGGTACTTAGGGGGAATTTTATAATCTTAAAACTTTTATTAGAAAAGGGTAAAGGCTGAAAATTAATGTGCTAAGTTAGGGGAAAGAAATCAGGATAATCTTGGTCTGGGGTTGTAGCTCAGGGATAGAGTGCTTGTCTGTCAAGTGTGAGGCTCTGGATTCGATTCTCAGCACCACATCAAGATAAGTAAACAAAATAAAAGTAGTATGTCCATCTATAACTTAAAAAAATATTTTAAAAAAGAAATCAGGATAATCTCAAAGAGGATAAAAGGAAGAGATAATAAAGACAGTAGTAGAACTAGATAGAAAGTCAAAAAAAGGCAAAGTTGTTGTTGAAAAAGAAATCTCTGGAGAGATTGAGGAAAAAAAGAAAAATGAGATGTAAATATGTTTAATTGCAAATAGATACATCAGGAATTTAAAAACATAAAATACTATGAATATTTTATGCAAATAAATTTGAAAATGTGTGAAATAGATAAATTTCTGTAAAAATATAACTTTCCAAGACTGTATCATAAAGAAATAGCCAAAAAGTACCAAAACGATTAAAGAAATTTCATCTGTATTTAAAATTTTTCTCATAAAGCAAATTGTAGCCCCAGATAGTTCTTGAAAACTATCAAAGAACAGAACTAAAACACCTCCAGAGTGTAAAAGTGCACTCTTCAGAACTTCCTGTGAACCACTGTAACCATTATATCAAAAACAAACAAATTAATGAAAGAGGAAAATTATGGGACATTATGATTTATGATATAAATGTAAAAATTTAAAGAAAATGTTAGCATACTGAGTCGGCTACAAGGAAAAAACAATATGCCTCAAATGATACATTTATAAGAACTGATAAAAACTTTATTAATGATAGTAAAGAAGAGTACAGAGAAGATGTGCTCCTCTCCAGTTGATAATATTCAAAACCTATGTGTTTTGGGGGGGAAGAATTTGTCAAGCTAAGTCTAAAATTTATATCAAAATATGAGGCTCCAGTATAACCTAGAAGAACTGCATGGAACTGGGAGCTGACCTATTAGATATCAAGAGTTATTATTAAGCTATAATTATGATATTACTACCGAAATAGACAAATTGATAAGAGGAACATAATGGAGATTCTGGGAATAGATCCATTCGTAGTTTGGATTTGTCACTTGAGAGAAGAAACTGCAAATCCTGGGAGAAGGAAAAACTATGCAATAAATAGTTAACCAAACAAACATGAAATTGGATTCCTACCTCACAGACTACACAAATATCAACCAAAACAGGAAAGTTAAACTACGATACTTTTAGGGGTAGATGAAAGTATTATCCTTATTTCCATTTCAGAAGTTTTGTCGCTGATATACAGAAATGCCTTTGATTTATG